GCTGGGGCGAGGAGGCTCTGCTGCCTTCGGGAGCTGCAGGAGATACAGCCTGTTCCTGCTCACATTGGTATTTATAGATACAGATGTTGCTCTAGCAGCAGGGTTCAAGCTTGATTTTTTTTCTCCTGTCTTCCTTCTCATCCTTTCTGTGCTCTTCAAAGCGATGCTGGAAGTACAGAAAGGCAGTGCTGGAAGTACAGAAGCAGCACAGGGATCAGGAGGGGGATGTGCAGCACGTGGGCTGCCATTGGCCCCAAAACTGCTACCTTCTGCATGGAGAACATCCAGTGCAGCAGCAAAAAAGGGGCTGATGCAAACCTTATCCTCCTCACCACCACCCTCATCCCCCAGGCCAGAAAAGAGCTGTGATTTAATGCATTTCTGGGTTCCTTCTCCTGCTGCTCTCACCCCAGTGTTCTCCTGGATGCTCCATGGGGCTTCTTGGGAGAGGAAGGTGACCCGAAATAAATCCCTGCCCCAGGGATGTGGGGTGCAGGAGCTGCTCAGAGCAGGAGGTGTTCGCTTTGGAGGCTGGGCCGTGGTTTTGCTCCACTATTAATTATAGATGCTCTGCAGTCCATCCGGGAGGCATTAATGGCTCTGGCTGCAGATCACGGGGCTCTGCGTGGCACCGTGAACAGGCTGGAAGTCCAATTTGGATTTCCCCGGGTGCCTCATTTAAATGAATTATGGAAACGCTTTCCCCTCCTCTTCAGAGCAAAAGCCAGGCGGGCTGCTGCCCGATGTGTTAATCCTATGAATAAAATAAAACCAGGAGAGAGCACGCACTGCACAGAACAAATCGCTGCTGCGGGGGCTCTGTTTGGGACCCCCTGGGCATGAGGGCCCTCCTGCCTTCAGGTGATGTCACTGAGATCCCCGACTCCGCTGTGACCCAAAGGAGGGTGACAGCCCTGTGAGATTTTAGCCCTGACCCCTCTCTGCTCTGTTTCACCCCACTGAATTTAGCAAGGCAATGATCACAGCCACCTTTGGTGAAGCAAGCTGTGGAGTTTTCCTCAGTTTCTCACATTACTCTCATTCACAGAATCACAGAATCACAGAATTGTAGGGGTTGGAAGGGAGCTCCTGAGATCATCGAGTCCAACCCCCCTGCCAAAGCAGTTCCCTACAGCAGGTCGCACAGGTCGGCATCCAGGCAGGTCTTGAACATCTCCAGAGAAGGAGACTCCCCCACCTCCCTGGGCAGCCTGTTCCAGTGCTCCGTCACCTCACTGTAAAGAAGTTCTTGCGCACATTGGTGCAGAACTTCCTATGCTGCAGTTTCCGGCCGTTTCCCCTTGTCCTGTCTCCACTCAGCACTGAAAAGAGTCCGGCCTCGCCATTCTGCCCCCCACACCTCAGATACTGATAGACCTGGATCAGGTCCCCTCTCAGCCTTCTTTTCTCAAGGCTGAACAGACCCAGTTCACTCAGCCTTTCCTCATAGCAGAGATGCTCCAGGCCCCTCACCATCTTTGTGGCCCTCTGCTGGACTCTTCCCAAGAGATCCCTGTCTGTTTTGTACTGGGGAGCCCAGAACTGGACGCAGTACTCCAGATGAGGCCTCACCAGGGCAGAGTAGAGGGGGAGGATCACCTCCCTCGACCTGCTGGCCACGCTCTTTTTAATGCACCCCAGTAAGCCATTGGCCCTCTTGGCCACAAGGGCACGCTGCTGGCTCATGGCCAACCTGTCGTCCACCAGGACACCCAGGTCCCTTTCCGCAGAGCTCCCCTCCAGCAGCTCATCCCCCAACCTGTACCGGTGCATGCAATTATTCCTCCCCAGATGCAAAACTCTACACTTGCTTTTGTTGAACCTCATCCGGTTTTCTTCTGCCCAGCTCTCCAGCCTATCCAGGTCTCGCTGAATGGCAGCACAGCCTTCAGGCTGTCAGCCAATCCTCCCAACTTCGTATCATCAGCAAACTTGCTGAGGGTGGCCATTATCCCCTCATCAAAGTCATTGGTGAAGATGACAAGACCGGATCCAGCACCGACCCCTGAGGAACACCGCTGCTCACAGGCCTCCAGCCAGACTCTGCACCACCAACGACGACCCTCTGCACTCTGCCAGCAGCCAGTCCTCAACCCACCTCACTGTCCACTCATCTATCCCACACTTCCTCAGCTTTGTTATAAGGATGTCGTGGGGGACAGCATCAAAAGCCTTGCTGAAATCAAGGTAGACTACATCCACTGCTCTCCCCCCATCCACCCAGCCAGAGACAACATCACAGAAGGCCACCAGGTTGGTCAAGCATGACCTCCCCCTGGTGAACACATGCTGACTACTCTTGATAACCTCCTTTTCTTCCAGTTGTCTGGAGATGGCATCCAGCACAGCTGTTCCATCACCTTTCCAGGGACAGAGGTGAGGTTGACTGGCCTGTAATCACCTGGATCTTCCTTCTTGCCCTTTGTGAAGACCGCAGTGACATTGGCTATCCTGCAGTCTTCAGGCACCTCCCCCATTCTCCAAGACCTCTCAAAGATGACAGAAAGCAGTTCTGCAATCACCTCTGCCAGCTCCTTCAGCACCCGTGGATGAATCCCATTGGGTCCCATGGATTTGTGAACACTGGTGTTGCCTGGGCGCTCTCAGACCGCCTCTTCCCTGACTGCAGGGAGGTCTTCCATTCCCCAGACCCTCTCACTGACCTCCAAGGTCTGGCATTCCCAAGGGAGAGCTTTTTCACTGAAGGCAGAAGCAAAGAAGGCATTCGGTATCTCTGCCTTCTCAGCATCCCCCATTACCAGAACACCCCGTCACTTAGCAGGGGAGCCACATTCTCCCTAGTCTTCCTTTTACTGTTAACACACTTTAAAAAGCCTTTTTTATTATCCTTTATCACCTGTGCCAGATTCAATTCCAGGCGGGCTTTAGCCTTTCTCGTCGCATCCCTGCAGGCCCTGACAACATTTCTATATTCCTCCCAAGTGCTCAGACCCTTTTTCCACATTTCATGGACTTTCTTCTTTCCTTTGAGTTTGTGCACGAGCTCCTTGCTCATCCACACAGGTCTCCTGCCACCCTTTCCTGATTTCTTGTCCTCTGTCCATTGTCCCCCGAGGTTGTAATTCTGAGGTGCCCCAACCAAGAAGGGTGAATTGGAGTAATTAGAGCAATTAGAGTTGGGTTTGCCATTGGGATGCATTGGCTAAACTGTTCCATGAAGAAAATGAAGAGCGGAGGCTGTTTGCATTGTGATAAATACTGCAGAGGAGATGTCAGTGAAATAAATCCATAGCAGTGCTTTGGCCCATTCAAATCTCCCCAAGAAAACTCATGAGAATGATAATTGCTAGTGGGTTATTCCTGCAGTTGCCTGTGGTGCACATGGGGACACACAGGGACACACATAGGGCACGTCACAGCCCAGCTCTGCTCACACAGCCCAGCACACCTGGGGGATGCAGAAAGGTTGCAGAGTGCAGGTGGCAAAGTATGGGGTGCAGGATGAGCGGTGAAGGGGTAAGGATGAAGGGTGTGGGGTGAAGGATGCATGACACGGTGCGTGATGCAAAGTGAGGGATGCAGGATGTATTGTGCATGGTGAGGATGCAGGATAGATGATGCAAGATGCAGGGTGCAGGATGCAAGATGAAGGATGCAGGGTGCAGCAGACACGATGCAGGATGCAGGATGTACTGTGAAAGGTGCAGGGCAAAGGATGTAGGGATGCAGGACACAACATGTGGGGAGCAGGATGATCAGTGAAGGGTGTTGGATGAAGGATGCATGAGACAGTGCAGGATGCAGGCATGAGGTAAAGGGTGCAGGATGCATTGTGCGTGCTGAGGTTGCAGGATGGGTGCTGCAGGATGCAGATTGTAAAGTGCAGCATGAAAGATGCAGCCTGCAGGGTGCACCATGCAGACTTAAGGGTGCAGACAGAAGGGTGCAGGGTGAAGGACGAAAGGTGCAGCAAGCCCAACTCGTGATACAGGATACAGGGTGCAAGATGCACGGTGAAGGGTTGCTTTCTGCAGGAGGACGCGGGGCGCGTGCCGCCAGCACCACCTCGTGGCGACCAACGGGACCCCGTACGTCCCCGCCTCGTCCCCGCCCCTCGTTCCCGTTGCGGCGCACAGCTTGTCCGTGGGGTGCAGCCCTGCACGTTCCAGAGGCTGCAGAAGTGTGGGAGAAATGATGCAATGCGTGGATACAGGGTGCAGGGGAAAAGAATGCAGGATGCAAGATGTAGGATGAAGGATGCAGGGTGCAGCATGCAGGGGGCCAGATGCAAGGACGGATGATGCAGGATGAAGGACGGAGGATGCAGGATGAAGGATGCAAGGATAAGAGGATGTGATATGTGGGATGCTAGGATGGAGGATGAAGGATGCAGGGTGTGCAATGCAGACTGAAGGATGCCAGGATGCAGGAAGAAAGATGAAGGATGCAAGAGGATGCAGGGTGTAGGATGCAGAATGAAGGATGTAGGGATAAAGGATGTGTGTTGCAGGATGAAGGTTGTAGGGTGAAGGCTGCAGGGTGCACAGAGCAGGCTGAAGAGTACTGGGATGCAGGAGGAAGGATGCAAGATGCAGACCAAAGGTTGCAGGATGCAAGGTGATGCACAGAGCATGCACAATGCAGGCGATGTCCCACTGTGCAGCCACCATGAACGCACGTGAGGAGAGACCCCAAGAGGACACAAGGGTGTCTGGGCTTTTTTCCAAACAAAACTTTATGCAGGAGGCAGGGGGAGCCCTGCAGGAGCCACCCAGCCACCAAAGCTCAGGGGGCACAAGCAACATCAGTCCCCAGCATGGCTGTCCTCAGGGCTCCCTGGGGAAGTGCCTGGTGCCAAGTCCTGCTTCCTTGTCACCAGCCAAAAGGCACCACAGTCCCAGGACACCAAGGCAGGTGAGAGCGGCCTCTGCAACTCCCTCCAAACACTGAAAGAGGAGGGGCTGGAGGCACTGCTGAAGGCACTAGACAAGCACAGAGGGAGAAGAGCTTTACAGCAATCCTCAAGTCATTCTCAGTCCTTTCGCTGATTGTCCCTGCTTGGCACTTTATCCCTTTTAAATTAAAATGGAAAACCTGCAAGAAGACACAAAACCCACGTGCAAAACTCGAGTCTAGGTGTAAGGCACTGGGCAAGGAGGGGACCCTGCAGCAGTGCTCAGCTGAAATCCCGCTCTGGCAGCACCAGGGGGGCCACCAACGTCCACACGTAGAGCAGCAGCCCGGCCCAGCTGGAGCTGATCTTCACCCACACGGCCGTCCAGGGGCTGTACAGCACCTGCAGGCTGTCATCAGGCCTGGAACAGCAAACGAAAGGAGGACACTCAGGTTTGTGCTATGTGCTGGGGGATGTGACCTTGGTGCAGCAGTTGTGAGCAAAGGGGGATGCTGTGTGCTGAAGGGTGTCCTGCAAGCACAGAGAGGACGCTGCAAGAAGAGAGGGGGTGCTGCAAGCAGAGCAGGGATGTTGCAAGCAGGGGGATGCTACAAGCTGAGGGAGTACGCTGTAAGCTTACAGGGAGTGCTGCAAGCCAAAGGAATGCTGCAAGAGGTACCCAGTAAACTCAGACCCAACCAGAGTGCATCCATTGGGTGCTTGGATCCCTCCAAATAACGAATGCTGATGGGTTACATATTAGCTTTGCTCACATACAGACCCATCCCAGCACCTGTGCCCAGCCCGAGAGCAATGATAATCCCGGAGAAGGGAGGAGCAGAGGACAGGGTCACAACTGGTCCCCAGGAGCGCTGCCCACCTGTACCAGTTGGTGAGGGTCATCATGATGTAGAGGGCAGCAAGGAGGAGGCAAAGGTGGAAGAAGCTGTAGCTGTAGGTGACGCCCTCCTGCTCGTTGTCGTAGGCTCGGTGCACCCCACTCTCTGCTGCTGCCTCAGTCCCAGCTCCAGCCCCGCTCTCCTCCGTCAGCATCAGCTTATTGACCTGGGTGTGGTCTGAGGAGCGGACGCTGCGAGCAGACAGATGGGGCAGGTGAGGGGATGCCCTGCAGGGGTGCCCCCGAGGCAGCAGAGCACTTTGGGGGATGCAGCTCATGCAACTCCTCCTGGCATCCTAAAAGCTGTGTGCAGGACCCTGAGGGGTCCCAGCGTTGTGGGACATGAAGGCATTGTCACGGCCTCACCTGATGAAGAGCGTGCAGAGGATGAAGACCACCAGCCCCACAATGCTCGGCGCGTCCCACCACGTTGTCAGTGTCTGTGTGGCTGTAGCTGAGCCAGTACTGTTTCTCAGCAGCAGTGTGGGGTTACACTCCTGGGCTGGGGGAGGTCAAAGGTGTCAGTGCCATCCCTGACCCCACGCACCCCCCGAGGCAATGAGAGCACTTACTGGGGACGTTGGCCAGGGCACACCAAGTGATGAAGATGGTGTAAAGGGTGATGAGAGATGCCTGTAGCAGCCCTGAGTGTGGCTGAGCTTCCTGCAAACAGCACGGGAGTGGCTCGGGGCTCAGCCCTGCACCAGGGGGAGCCAGCAAGGCCACCCCCTCCCACCACCTCACCTGGATTTTGGGCAGGATGGATACGGCCGAGATGATGACGCAGAGGATGAGGTTGATGCTGATGAGGACTTTGCCCTCCGTGCAGCCCTGGGGTTTGGTGTAGTAGACATACAGCAAAGCAATGGCCGTGATGGAGGCAGCATAGAAGATGAAGGTGACAGTGCAAAGGGCTGAGGAGTAAGGGGAGAAGGGAAGGGGCTGGAGCAGGGCCACGAGCATCACAGCTGGCCCCACATGAGCCCCTGAGGCACGGCACCCACCTGCATACCAGCCCTTGGCATTGCTCTCATCTGCATTGCGCAGCCACAGCTGGCTCCAGGAGTGGGCAAAGTCGATGAGGAGGATGAGCTGGATGAGGATGAAGAGGAAGGAGCCGACCACACCAAAGTAGAACCAAACTTGGGTGGTGGGAGGGAAGTGGGTCAGTAATGGGACTGCAATGGTATGGGGTGCATCAGGGCAGCACCAAGTGTGAGGAGAGCACAAACGTCATGAGCACCCCTCTGCCCACCCACAGCCCCTCACCTGATGTAAAGGAGCCATCAGGGATGTAGAAGGCCCCCACTGTGAGCCCCACCAGCAGCAGGAACTTGAAGAACCAGAAGCTGCAAGAGGAGAGAGGAGTCTGGGTCTGAAAATGGGAACCCCCAGCAGTTCCCAACACCAGGGATGCTCAGCTCCTTGGATAGGACCACGGGCCAGGGGCACCCCATGGGGAGCAGTGTCAGAGGTATGCCCAGCAGACACCCCAAATTCCCCAGCACATTGCACACACCACAAATACTGTGGAGCACAAGTCAGAGGACCTTAAAAACTAAGAGTGAGCTCAAAACTGCCCTTCTGCTTTATCCCATGCCCAAAACGGGGATAAAAAGGGCAAAAAATGGCAATGGCCTCCATCCAAGCTTCCAGCCAAGCATGGGGACACGCTCACCCATTCTGTATGGCAGCTCTCGGGTCCTTGCTGCTGCGCACACACACCATCAGCACAGCAAAGAGGAAGAAGAAGGCAGCTGTGGCAAAGCCCATGCGGTACACGGCCTTGTGGCCCAGGAAACCACTGCAGTCGATGTCAGCTTGGACCCCCAGCACTGAGTCGCTGCCCTTGCAGAAACCTGGGAGCTGAAAGGATGAGGAGATGGGAAAAAAGGCATCAGAAGCAACGACGTGCCCCAAAAAATTCACTCTCTGATATGTACCCATCCTGAGTTCACACCTTTGATCAAATCCAGCCATCGCTCTGAAGGCAGCAACATTACCTTGTGCAGCTCCTTCTCCACCCCAGGGATGATCATGATGATGGAGACCAGCGTACCGAGGAAGAGGAAGAAGGTGAAGAGCAGACGGGAGATGGTGGAGTTCTTGGCTGAGGGGCAGCAGCCGCAGAGCAGGCATGGTGCTGAGCCACACAGGCAGGACACCTGCAATGAGAGCCCAGAGATAAGTGGCAAGGGGTGTGGGATGCACTCAGCTGCTGGGTTCATTTTACAGATGGGGAAAACAAACAGTAACCCTACGAGTCCTGGCTGCCCAAATCCCTGGATACCACAAACCACAGTGGCAGGAGCACTGGGGAGATGCTGCTTGCATCTCTGGTCCAAGTTTGACTTCGTTGCTCCTCGAAATGTTGTTCCCACTAGATTGTCCAATAATTGGGACACTCACACACCTATTTAATTCCTGCAAGGTTTGGAAGAGCTCCAAGCAGCACCCAAACAGCCAATATTCCTTTCCTCAGAAGAAGAATAACCAAAGGGTTTTGCATTAAGACATGCTGTAACGTTGGTTATGGGGCAGGAGAGGGCCAGCAGCCAGCTCTGGCCACCACATCCTGCTCTGAATGTGTCTGTTCAGATCGGGGATTATTTTCAACCTTCATCACCCCCAAAGTGTCGTGAGGCCATGTCTAAAACCCCTATTTCCTAAAGGAGTGTGAAGATGGAGAATAAGTAACATTAGAAACACTTCAAGGAACATTTCTGGACCACTAACCCTCTCCTGTGCCATACAAGTGAAAGGTCCTGAGTCAAATATCTGAGAAGAAAACGGGAATAACGTGCCCCCTGAGTTTCCCTTAAACTGCCAAGGCCAATTGTGGGGGCACCACCACCATGCCAGCACCATGGCAAGGTGCCTCTAAGGACCCAAAACTACATTTGCCCATTTGTCCCCCTCTCTGGTCCTCACTGAGCTGCTTTCCCTCTACCTGTAAGCTCACAGCATTGATTTATTTTACTTTCAAAGCTCCCTTTCTTCCCTTTGAACTGCTCTTTCTGCCTTGCAAACGTGAAGTTTGTTGTGCTGAATGTGGGGGTCACTGCTGTCACTTCCTAATATTGAAGCTTTTTGGGCATTGTGAGCTCTGCAACTTCTGTGAAGTTGCCTTTAACGAGACAACCACAGCTTGTGCTCATCCCCAGCACCCACAGCTGCTTTAAAAAGAAATCAAGAGCAAGGTTAGAGAAGGAAAAAGGAAGAAGCTCCCTAGATGGGCATGGCCAGGAGATGCACTTGCTTATGGGAATACTGCAGGGCATCCCATGAGAGCATCCTTGAAGATGTGCAGGAGACACGACCTCACGCACCCCACTTTCACAGGATCATTACACTTGGAAAAGATCTCTAAGTCCATCAAGTCCAACCATCAACCCATCACCCCCACTAAGACATGTCCCTAAGCTGGTTTTCCCTGGGATGGTGCATCAGTATGCTGCACGTATGAGGTTCTGGGGAGCCCACATCCAAGGGAGCAGGCAGCATCCTTCAGGGTGGAAAAACAGTAAAGGGAAGCAGCCACAGCATGCAGGTGGTGATGGGGAAGCGTCAGGTTTCAGCTGCTGCAGATTAAAGATTAATCCCTCTGGTTTCACTGTTGACTTCCTCATTGAATACAGCTCAGTGCCAGCGTGGCTCGCATGGAACGGCAGCTCAGGGAGCACAAACAATGCAAAACAGTCTGCAAGGTCCTAAGCCAACAGCAAACCACCAACCCACCAACGACCCAACAAACCGCAGCAACTACTCAGTAACAACCCAACAACCAGCAGCAAGCATTCAGTAACAACCCAACAACCTAACAAACAACATCTATGACCCAACAACAACCCAATAGCAGCAACCACTCAGTAACAACCCAACAACCAGCAGCAAGCACTCCATAACAACCCAACAACCAACAGCAATGACCCAACAATCAGCAACAACACTCAATAACAGCCCAACAACCTAACAAACAACAGCTATGATCCAACCCAACAAAAAGCAGCAAGCACTCAGTAACAACCCACCAACAGCAACAACAACCCAACACCTCTTCTTGCAGGCTGCCCTTACCCCAGTACCCCTGAGGCTGCACAGACTGAGTCAGCCCAAAGCAATGCCAAGCAACCCTTGTTGTCTCCCATTCAATGAATGACCCTGCAGGTTAATCAGTACCAAGGCATGCAGTCAGCATGGGTTCAGGAGGTGGGCAATTGTAGGTGCCAGCACTGCCCCATGGCCATATTGACAGCAACGTGAAATGCAGGGTCCTAAAGCTGTGTAGACCCTATAAGAACATGACTCTGCCTCATTCCTGTAACCTGGGTCAAAATGTTTTTTTTGAAGGGGAAAAAAATCCAGCACCACACGCTGCCCGTGGAAATCCCACTCCTGGCTTTTCCACTATGTGCCCATGAGGAGAGGCGCCGTGACACACAGAACATAACTGCACTCAGGCCATACATTACGACAGTTGCACCTCTGAAACTACGAAGCCCAGTTGCGAAAGCAGCTCCCATTCAGGCAGGAAGGTTTCCCAGCCCTGCCCTGGCTGTGCGTCATGGGCACAGCACCGGGAGTGCCCAACTGTGTCACCAGCACAGCAGCCACGCAGCAGGAGCAGCCAGACCCCCATCCCCCCGACTATCAGGGCTACAACTCCTGGGATGCCCTGAAACCCCCCCAGGACAGCCCCGATCCTCCCTGGAGGTGGGTGCAGGGGAAGGCTCAGCTTTTTCCCACCACAGAGGTTTCATCCCATAGGGATGCCCCGATATTGTGGGATCCTCCCGATACTCTGGGCTCCCCCCTCCCCATCAACGAGCCCCTGCAACGTGGGACAAACCCCACGGGGTTCCCTTTGGCTGGTGGGCCAGCAGGCAGCCCTGCAATGGTTGTCCCCTGCTTCCCCTGGGACAGGAGTAACCCCACGGGGATCCCCCGGGGGATATCCGGGGGGATACAGACGGGGACACCCCCAGCGGTGTCCTTCATCCCCTCCCTCAGGGGTTCCCGCATCCTCCAGGGTACAAAGGGCGGCATTCCTCTGCTGTTCCCCCGCTTCTCGTCGGCTGCATCGGATCGCATCTCCCGGTTGCCCCTACCGCTCCGCCGGCCCCCTCCCCCAACTTCAAATCTCGGAATCAGCGCAGCCCCCACCTCTCCCGCCCCCCCCATCCCCCAGGGACACTCACACAGCTGAGAAGCGAGCAGACCCCCAGACAAGCCCCCATAACGCAGCCTCTGCAGCTCCCCGGGGCGGGCACTGAGGTTGGGGGAGGGGAGGCGGCTCCGGGGGGGCGGGGGCTGAGCGGGGCGGGGCCGAGGGGGGGGGGGGCGATCTGCGGGGCTGAGGAGTGCGGGGAGGGGGGGGGCTGGGCGTGAGAATGGGAAGGAAACGTTGGAATAGAAAAGGGAAGAGGAAGAGAAAAAGAAAAGGAGAAGAAAAAGAATGGAATAAAAGGAAAGAGAGGAAGAAAAAAAGAGAAAGAAAAAGGAAAAGAATGAAAGAAAAAGAGAAAGAATGAAAGGAAAAGGAAAAGGAAAAGGAAAAGGGAGAAAAAAAGAGAGAAAAAAGAGAGAAAAAAAGAGAGAAAAAAAGAGAAAGAATGAAAGAAAAAGAATGAGAGAAAAAAGAGAAAGAAAAAAAGAGGGGAAGGGAAGGGAAGGGAAGGGAAGGGAAGGGAAGGGA